TTATACTGTCCTATCAACTTTAAGCTTTAAATAAAACAGGTATTTGAACATGAGATCGAACTAGGGGTAAAATGCTGCTGTAACCATATAATCGACTGCTCATTAAACACAATCAACATAAAACCAAGCATCTAAGGTATATGTCAAGAAATGAATTATTTTTATACAGTAAAATTAGCAGGAGCACTAAAATAGACCAAAACAACTTTGTACATGTCTATAGTATATATGCATATTTTATTTTATTTTTCATTTCTCAGGTACTGGACTTTATTTAAGTATTTTTATGCAATATGTAGGGTACTCATTAAGTAAGACTACACATCAGCATTAAGTTAGACTACTTATGAGGGCATTGTTTTTGTTTTTTTTCGGGGCACTAGCCCTTCTACTCTGACTGTTCTTAACTGATTTAAAGTGTGTCTCACTTCAAATACAGATGGGTTATTGTTTCCTCCACCCTTATGTCTGTAGTGGCCAAAATGTTGCTGCAGAGGGTCTTGATTAAATGCATGAGTGAGAACAAAAGGAGCACCACTGTTGAGTAAGATTTTTATACACTGGACAATTGACTTAACTGAAATATTTTATCCAATCCGTGTTTGTATTGACAAGAGCATTTTATTTCTCTCACTTAGTGGTATATTTCCAGGATGTTCCATTACGGATTTCTCCCAATCTTTCAAATATCCTAAAAAATTGTCCTGTAGCCAGAAAAGGCGGGGGTCGTCAACTGAGGTGTAGGGGGTTAAATTGTCATTTCTTTTCATTTTCCCCTCGTACAAACTTCGTACATTCAAACAATCAAAAAACTTGTCCATACTTGATAACAAACTTACTGTCTCTGACACAGCACTACCATACAACATTTCTAGAGCACTGGATACTGTGCTTGATAGAATTTGTGCTGCGAGATTAACTTTCATAACACTGAACGCTGTGAGATGAACGTGAGAGTGGGTTAATTTGGGGCACGGCGTATACAAACTGTTCTCACAATGTTCTTCATACAGCCTTATTATATGCCGCCAGCTAATGTCTTTCCCATCTTTTCATAGCCGTCTTGAGTTTTTGTGCCAGAAACTGTTACTTATACAGTTTCTTGTAGTTTTTAAAAGATGTGGCACATCTGCGATAAAGAATATCTCTCTTGACCTGTAAAAGGAAAATGGATACCATCATTATTTAAAATTAAAGCACAGAAGGCGCTGAATTTGCTTGGGTCTCAGAATGTCAGAAAGGTGAAGGTTGTGAGATTATAAACCAATTTGTTTTTGTATTGTGCCACCAATGCTTTTCAGCATTTTAATTGTAGTAAATTGGCTTTAAGACTAATTGCAACACTGATATTCGATTCAATGTTTATTTGACTTAAACAATTTGAAGAAAAAAAGAGTTGCCTTCACTGGGATTTGAATTTCAGACATCTCGCTTCCTAAGCGAGCGCGCAAACCCCTCGGCCACGGTGAAGTTATATTTAAACGGCCTGAAGAAAACCGTATTATTCTAAATTAGGGTTTGTAACCCTTATTATTTCGACACTAACTGTTGTTTAACACAGATGTAAATAATTATGGAGCTTATTATAAGCATGTATACCTATAAAGAATAAAACAATATTAGAAATCTTCGACCATTCGAAAACTAGTTTGCTTGAAAATTAATGCGCCTGTCATTTGACCATCTTTACGCAGTGATCTCCCCTGAAATTTTGTGGCGTTAACAACTAGTGCACATATAAAGGGAAGTAACCGCTTCAAAAAAGCGGCTTACTTTTGGCATTTGCAATTAACAGCATCAGACTCTGAAATTTCCCTACCATTATTTGTTTGGTCTGACGACCCAAACAAATAAAAACAAAACCTTTGCATGTGACATAGCTACATTGTACATAACTCTGCAAAAATTAATATTTTAACAACTATCAAATATGTTCAACACCATGGTTTTTTCCCGGGATTTTGGGAACATGACCCATACTCAATAGAATTGGGAATTTCAGCAATGTTTTGTTAAAAATTGGGGGAAAATGCATGACTTTAATGTTACAGAGCCAGATAAAATGAATGCAAAGAATCACTGTCTAGGATGGCTTCATTAAACATTTAAGCTCTGTAATAGTGAAGAAGCCTTTATTTTCAAAGATTTAAGCATTCATTATTCAATATTTTTGTTTTGTTACTTTCAATTGGGAATTTTTTCCTGTGGATTTGGAAAATAATATACCATTATGCAATATTTCTAAGAATCCATTATTTCAAAATTTTTTTGGTTATTTTGATCTAAAATTCAAGCACTTTTCGGGTTTCTTTAATATAGGTGTGTCATTTTAGTATACATATGCAGTAAGTATAGAGAGTTTTAATATCAACAGTGTCAAATTTATTACTAGAGCAATATTATATAAATTTTTTATATATTTATCAGTATCTTAACAGTTCTTCCATATAAACATTTCCTGTTATTCAAAAAAAAATAAAAGAAGACTTGGATGCAAAATAATGAGGTTCCTTCTCCCCTTTCATTCATAAATTCAAAGTATTGATTAGTATAGAAAAATCAAAGCACTGAAAGTACTGTTGGAAGGAAATTTTCATAGAAATTCCCAATGCGTGTGAATTAAAAACAAAGGAATATGTGTATGTTCTAATTATATTTAATCAAGCTAGTCAAGCTTCAATCTACAGCTAGCTGATTGGATGACGTAAAATGTGACGTCATTGTTTCTGTTTTTGCACTACTCATGTTCAGAGGGCTGATAACTAGTTCTTGGCCCAGGGCCGCTGAAGTTGAAACCCATAAGTTGTGACACTCATAATCAGTTGAAATCATAGGCAATTCAGTTACTAATATAGTAATAAGTGAATTAATAGATAATACTACTGCATTATGAACACAAAGAACCACTCAGTTTGACCTAAATCGGCCATGACTTATATAACTACTTCATAGGAATTTAAGACCATGCCATAAGCATTATTTAATCATAGTTAATGAAGAGACTTTTTATTTTAAACTCAAGGACAAGAAAAGCTCATCATGTGTTTACATGTGTAAGTTCAAACATGACTAATTGTGTTTTAGTATGAAATTGATGTACATGCTGTTAAAGTCATAGCAAAACAAAGAACAATGATTTAAAATATACTTTTATTGTCAAAACTTGCATAAAAGTAAAAATATATGTGATATAAAAAATAAATGCTTAAATATATGGAGATAATGAAATTTAGTTTGTCAGATAAATTGTGTAAAAGGAACTCCACTGAGGTTTTTTGACATGATGAGACTGAAATTTATTTTTCTAGATTAATGTACCATTTGATTTATGTTTTGACCACTAATCTTTGAGAAAAATTTTCTGATCATTTGCGCACTTCGTTTTTCAAGAATAGTTATTCAAATTGTAAAAAAATGACCCAAAATGAAAGCGTTTAATCACATTTTACGCAGATCAGGCTGAGAAAAGCAAAAAAAAATCGATTTTCAATTTATTTTAAAGTATATTTCTTCACTATCTGTGCATATATTTATACCCCCGCACAACAAAGTTGTAAGGGGGGTATACTGGAATCAGATTGTCCGTCCGTCCGGCCGTCCGGCCGTCCGTCCGGCCGTCGGTTTTTTCTTGTCCGCCCAATAACTTAAGATTCCTTTGACCCTTAGTCTTCATATTTGGCATGGAGGTTAGTCATGATTAGTAGATGACCCCTATTGATTTTGAGGTCACTAGGTCAAAGGTCAAGGTCACAGGAGCCTTGACTTCAAAAAGCTTGTCCGCCCATTAACTTAAGATTCCTTTGACCCTTAGTCTTCATATTTGGCATGGAGGTTAGTCATGATTAGTAGATGACCCCTATTGATTTTGAGGTCACTAGGTCAAAGGTCAAGGTCACAGGGCCTTGACTTCAAAGAGCTTGTCGCCCAATAACTTAAGATTCCTTTGACCCTTAGTCTTCATATTTGGCATGGAGGTTAGTCATGATTAGTAGATGACCCCTATTGATTTTGAGGTCACTAGGTCAAAGGTCAAAGTCACAGGGGCCTTGACTTCAAAAAAGCTTGTCCGCCCAATAACTTAAGATTCCTTTGACCCTTAGTCTTCATATTTGGCATGGAGGTTAGTCATTGATTAGAAGATGACCCCTATTGATTTTGAGGTCACTAGGTCAAAGGTCAAGGTCACAGGGGCCTTGACTTCAAAAAGCTTGTCCGCCCAATAACTTTAGATTCCTTTGACCCTTAGTCTTCATATTTGGCATGGAGGTTAGTCATGATTAGTAGATGACCCCTATTGTTTTTGAGGTCACTAGGTCAAAGGTCAAGGTCACAGGGGCCTTGACTTCAAAAAGCTTGTCCGCCCAATAACTTAAGATTCCTGTGACCTACAGTCGTCATATTTGGCATGGAGGTTAGTCATGACTAGTAGATGACCCCTATTGATTTTGAGGTCACCAGGTCAAAGGTCAAGGTCACAGGGACTTTGACTTCAAAAACTTTGTCTGCCCAATAACTTTAGATTCCTTTGACCCACAGTCTTCATATTTGGCATGGATGTTGATCATGATTAGTAGATGACCCCTTTTGATTTTGAGGTCACTGGATCAAAGGTCAAGGTCATAGGGACTTTGACTTAAAAAAGTTTGTCTACCCATTAACTTAAGATTCCTTTGACCCACCGTCTTCATATTTGGTATGGATGTTGATCATGACTATAAGGTGACCCCTATTGATTTTGAGGTCACTGGGTCAAAGGTCAAGGTCACAGGGACCTTGACAAAAAAAAAAGCTTTTCTCAATTGCTAAAGAATGTCCTGTCCGCAATGTATTGATTTTGACATTTTCACATTTGAAGCATGTAGAATACATAACTTAGCAATGCACTGTCTTAGTAACCTCAGATTTGGCAGGGAGGTTGTTCTTGACCTCTAAATGGCCACTGTTGATTCTGACAAAGTGGTATGCGGGGGTATTCAAGCCATTATAGTGGCAGTTCTAGTTCTGTATCAATTGCCCCGGCTCATTTCTGTAGAAATTCAAATGTTATGTTTTAGGCTTTTAAACCTCAATGGAGTGAGTCCCTTTAAATTATTGGTACATATTGAGGTGACACAAGTTATAACAATCTGAATGAAAGAAGCTTTAATGCATTAACAGCCAGTGGTATAGGAGGTGCTGTTTTAAGGATTTTTAACATACAAGACTGACATTATACAACAAAATATAGTCAAAACTAAAAATGTGCCCATAGGACTTGAATGCCTGCGTTAAGAACAATGCTTATATTGAGTGGGTAATCAAAATATGTACATAATTAGACAAGCCCACTGGCAGCATATCTAGCCTGTTGCCTTTATTCAGAACTGAACCTTAAAGCTTCAGATTGGGGAGAAGAAAGTTATCTCATGTTCTTGGTGAAAGACTGGTGACTAGTTTTCTCCTCAATGTCATTTCTTTTTCTAATTAGATTAAGTCATGGTACTATATTCATGAGGCTTTCGACATCACATCTAAGAACTCATTAACCAACATTGCAAAGGGCAGGCAGTCTCCTGGTATTCCAATTTCTTTTAAGTTTTATAAAACCCAAATATTTCTATTTCTTTAGTGTTTCCGACATGAAGACACATCTACATGTGTCTTTCCTTATCACTCCTGCTTTTACTGTTCTATCATATAAGCGCCTCTGTTTCCTGAAATATTTGTATATTTGTTTAGAAAAAGTTAATTGCAAAATAAAATTTCCACTATTTTTGTATATATTTTTTTCGGGGGATGGGGGGCCTTGGTGCACCTATGTGTATGATTTCAGGCACATGGGTACCATCAATGTTCCATAAATGAGCTTTCTCACATGAAAAAACTTGTAAACCCTTGCTGAGCTCGAACTTACAGCAGTGAAAGGCTTAAAGTCAAGAAACTAAACCAATCAGTCACAGACACCCCAAGTATTTTATCTATTTGCTAAGCAGCAATTTTTTCAAAATTATTTAAATTCATAAATGTGAGTGATTCTGATAAGCTAAGTGATGATAAGATGATCATATATGTCAGATATGTCGGAGTGCTAACACTGCTTACTGTGAATATTCATTATTTTAATGTGAATTGTCCTGAGGTGAAAAGGAAAGGAAAGCTGAATTCCTAAATACATGTTACATGTCACAATTGTTCTTGCTATTTATTTTTTTCATAATTTCTTGTATAAGATGATATTTAAATACACTGTAATTCTTTTTTATAAATTTGTCTTTTTGTGACAATAGTCTATCCAGTGACAAAAGCTCACTGACTTAAAATAAACTGTCCTGTGTCAGCCTTTAAACAAGTCAAGAAAAAAAAGCTATTAGAATATAATAATTAAGAAATATCATATACAAATACTTCTAAATAATCATGTACCTCTTCCTTAAATGCCCATGCTATTGAAAGAAACATTTTTTTCCATTTATTCACTTCAAGGTTAGTCAGATTGACAGTCTCACATTTTAGCCTTTATCTCTCGTGATTTCATTGTCATTGACCCTAAAGCATCCTTAAAATCGATATCCTGCTGTTCACATTCACAAATGAATACCAAATGACTAACAATGGGTTACATAGAAAACAAGAACAAAACATATAATAATCAATCTAATTTATTGTCTATAAACATATGAAACAGTATACATGTAATTGTCACTTCTCATGTAATTGTCACTTCTTATCACTGAACATTATTCGCACATTACTCTGCTTCTTGTCTAAGCACCCTGGGTTGGTAAAGACTTGAAACCTTCTTCAGCAGTGCCGTTGCCGACAGTTGTTTCGCACGATAGCTGCAAGCAGAAAAATTAAATGGAAGTATTAAACAGTCAACAATTATAATATAAATGTATATTCATTTGAATGATATTATACAAATTAGAAATTAACATTAATTATATTTACATTGTATCACACACATTTTTCATGATCAATTATCAGTCTGTGATCATTATACTAGCCTCTGTTCCAATATATTACTAATGATATTCAACTTGACATTGAAAGAAATGGTCGTTATGTCACTTAATTTAGTATAAGACACAAATAATAAATCATATTGTTCCAAGCTTGAAATATCTGCGACTGCATAGATCTGTAAGTCTTTCTTTGCATTCGCCGCTGCTTCATCTCAGAAACAAGTCGCACTTGCGATTCCACGAATCTTGCTTCTTTGTACTATAGCTTAATCAAATTGTAGAAAGGCGGCGACATTCCAGCTCTGATATTCAGACGACGATGCCATCCTGCAAATATGCAAAATAATATATAATGTTTCTAGCTGAGTTATAAATCTTAAAAACAACATATAGACCCCTATATATTTAAATGGAATAAAATGTTTGTAACAAAATATTAAGCTGCTACATTTGTTGGCATCGGTCGAATGTTCCAATGTCGATTACTTTTACGATTTTACTAAAATTTATATATCAATATACATTGCAATATTAAATTTACCTTCGCAATCGTTGTTTGTTCGGACGGACTGTCCAAATACGCTCCAGTTTTTTTTACCGTCCACGTTGAGGATTCGAACCACGTTCTTCTGAGGTACTGGAACAATGGTTCAAGATGTTCAGATGTGTTGAAGTCTTCCATCTTATCGAACACTTCGATGATGTGTTCCATGGGTAGGAAAGGCAGACAGAAAATCATGCGCAGAAGAGAGTACAATCCGTGGTTATTCATATAATCTGTGGACAACCCAAGTCCCTGAAATATAAACAAATGATTTGAACATGTATTACAAGGTGTATTTTTAAAACAACATTTATTCTATTCGTTTCGATGAGATATAGATAATTATCGGAGATAGAATAAAAAGTCACAAACCACTTAATGAAATATATACGTTTTAGATTTAAATGGTCAGCCACTCAAAAACATATAATAGGAAACAACTTAAGCGAGATAAATAAGAACGAAAAAATTCTATACCTGTATATGATGCCAAACAGCCTGGCCCCAATGGAATGAACATCCCTTCATGAGTACGGTCGGGAAAACCCGCCTCAAAGCTTTCCAGATGGCCTTTTCGAAGTCACAGACTACCTCTTCAACCTCTTGTTGGTTCCTTAAACCTCGTTTGATGGCCTAAAAAATTGTAATACATGTATACATACATATATAAATAAAAGAGAGACAAAACTAGAAATGTGTCCATAGGACACAGATGCCCCCACACGCCACTGTTCTGTCAATCTTATGACTCTAGGTCAAAAAGTTTTTGGACTACATGTGCCACAAGTTGAAAACTAAAAATCAACAAAGGGCCATAATTCTGTTAAGTTTGGTTGCAGCAAAAATTCCTTCCTTTACTACCATCAGATTCTACACATTAGGGTTGTTAATCCCTGGAAGTTTAAGCAAAATCTGCCATCCAGTTTAAAAGGAGTTGCGGTCACAAAATTTCTACATAGTATATAGTGAAAAAATCAACAATTTAGGGCCATAATTCTGTTAAATTGTGTCGCAGCAAAAATTCCTTCCTTTACTACCATCTACACATTAAAGTTGTTCATCCCTGTAAGTTTAAGCAAAATCTGCCATCCGGTTTAAGAGGAGTTGCGTTCACAAGATTTCGGGATGTACGGATGGACAGACGGACGGACAAGTGCAACGCTATATGCTCCCTCATTGTGGGGGCCTAAAAAGTAACACTAAAGCACGCCTAAAACAGCAAGGTTGAAAAATTTACTGATTTTATAATTTTAGTTGATTTAGTTAATTCTTTTTCCCAGACATTCTTCCAAAAGCGAAATTTGATTTCAAACTGTTTTTACTTACTTTTAATACGTGCTCATAATCCGCACTTGTCCTTCCTGTCATAGCTACAAACACCAGCGGAACCTGCTACGCACAAATGCATGAATTGTCAAAAGCATGATGAACGGAGTACGCATCACCTAAAATATAAGTCAAATTAACGTTACATTCTGTCATGACAAAACTTTTCAACAGATAATAAATATATATCGTTCAGAAAGCATCGGAAGCATTTGATTTTCTTAAAAGAAAAGAGTTGAACTTGACGGACAAAATGTAAGTATAATATCAATTTAAATAACAATGTGATTTCTACTGATTTGATAACTCCATTATGAAATAATGGGCTTCTGATTATTTTTTTAAAAAAATCTAATTATTTTTAATTGGTACATTTATGTTAAACTGTGCAATTCTCAGTTGATAATCTTGTAATTTTTGGCTAACAACATTATTTTAACCAAAATAGGATTTTACATAAAAATAACTTTAGGGCCGATTTGACTAGTTTTGGGGCCGATTTGACTTTTTAAAATTGTTGTGTGGCCAATTTGACTAATTTTGAGGCCTAATTGACTAATTTTGGGGCCAATATGACTTGGGGCCGATCTGACTAGGGGCCGATTTGACTAGTTTGCAAAAAAAAACACATCATTACAGTTTGTGAAATTATTTAAACATAAATTGTTGTTAACAATTAATCATTTTAATAATTTTTAGAGCTCCCAGTTCAAAAATGAGGATGAAAAGAAACCATAGCCATGTGCAGATAATTCCTTATAATTGTCCGGAAATACTGTATTGAAGCTCTGTTCAGACTAGAAAAATACGCTTAAAAAAACTGGAAAAAACTAGCATCAAAACAAAAAACGAAAAATCATATTTCAATTGAGAAATCCTTAATAAGAAAATGCAAGAATTATACGTATTGATCTAACAGTTAAAGATCCTTAACAAATTAAAATTGACCACTCTCGCAGGATTGTTAATATACCGCTGAATGGCATAGTATCCACACCATCTGCTTCCAACAAGATTTTCTCCTAAAAAATACTCAATTTCTTCAAAACAAGCAAACCTGTCTAATCCAAACTTTATTTACAATCATTTTCTACCGTGACCTTTAACTTCATCATAAACTATTGCTTCATATATTAGAAGAAAATGATCAGCTTTTATTATCGGTATATTGCCGTGAAATCAATATGGCGGTTTACGGCTACTTTTTCCCAGGATGCATCAAAGCTCGGAAAATCCCACGACATATGATAACATACGGGAACACGTTTTGCGTCTATGCTGAATTTAACTGTGTGACGTCACAATAGCTTCTCCATTCTATATTAAGCTCCATGGAATAAGTCAGACCATTGTCATGAACAGATGAGACCTTAAACTGCCTGAAAGTACATATTCCAAAATATTTAATCTTATCATTTTTCAGTCCCCATGTAGTTTCCTCAGAGGAAAATTGAGGACAAGATGCAGGTAACAGATAGGCATTATAAGGCTTTTGGAAGGGTTCATTGACTTTGACATAAAAAATCAAACCAATCCATGTTTGAATTTACAAAAGCATTTTATTCCTCTCACTTTGGAATAAATGTTCAGGTTGCTCCATTACAGATTTTTCCAATTCTTGCATTTATCAAAGGAAGTCATCCTGTAACCAGGTAAGGTGGGGAACATCAACTCTAGTGTAGGGGGTTAAATTTTCATTTCTCTTCAGTTTTCACCTTATATAAACTTCTCATATTCAGAAAATAAAAAAACTTGTCCATATATGGACAGCACTACCATAATTATGACAATTCAAGTGCTCCAGATACTGTTTTGGATAGAATCTGTGGGTTCATGACACTGAAAGCTAGATGTACTTTTGGGAGCGTGTTGAATTTTGGACATGGTGTGTACAAATGATTTCAGTTGAGTGTTCTTGTTTACAAAGCCCATTGCCTGCTTTCTTCCAGCATTTGTTTTTTAATAAAAAATAAATCCCTTTCTTGAGCAAGTCTCTGCTTGAGAAGGTCACCTTCAAGCTTGACACGTATCAATTCCAGCTGGTATAATTCGTCTTGACTAGGCTGCTTCCTTTTTGTACCTGGGAATAAACATTAGAGTTATCAAAGGAATAAAAGATATGAATTTTATCACACATGTTTAGGCTAATATTAAAACAGATTTGACTTTGATGTACATGTAATTCCTTTAAAAAGAGAATTGTATCTTCTGTGTGTTGGCTTACTTAAAGATGTCTCTTAAGATGTTCTTTTTAGAGAAATTGTAGACAACAATAGACAAGATGGTTTGAGGAAAAAACCAATAACATTGCCGGATTTCCTCACTGCTGTAGTTCTCTAGCAGGTTTGAACCATCCCGAAACACCCGCCGATCAAATGGCAGGCTACTCAAATAGTGCAACCGACACTGCCGTAACACATACTCAGCCATTTTTCAGAGTGTATTGTGGGATTGATCTTTAATTTGATCCAACTAAATACAAGGATCAAAATTTGGATCAATTTTATCCAGATTTTCAGATCAGAATTGATCGTTATTCTTTGTGAACACCAACTTTGATCTTGATCCGAAAATTGATCCAAAAACTTGATCTTGATCCAAATATAAGGATCAGAAATGTAAGTGAACTCGGGGCCTGATGTTAGATTTTCTGGATTGGAGTACACACATGAATATTTTCCTCTGCGCATCTCAATATTTTCCCTGGAATCCTTACCGCTGTAAACCTGTTTATCTTGTAATTCCTGAACTTGTGCCTCTATCAGCGAAATTAAGGGCGAAATTACGAAAACGATTGGGTTTTCTGTGAGACCAAGTTCACTATATAAATATGATAATCCTTGAAAACACAGAGACTTTCCTGATCCTGTCTGCACAAACAAAATTAATGTGACCTTGTTCTAGCAGGTTCGAACGATCCCGAAACACCCGCTGATCAAATGGTAGGCTACTCAAATAACGCAACCAACACTGCCATGACACATACTCAGCCATTTTTCAGAGTGTATTGTGGGATTGATCTTTAATTTGATCCAACTAAATACAAGGATCAAAATTTGGATCAGTTTTATCCAGATTTTCGGATCAGATTTGATTGTTATTCTTTGTGAACACCAACTTTGATCTTGATCCGAAAATTGATCCAAAAACTTGATCTTGATCCAAATATAAGGATCAGAAATGTTAGTGAACACGGGGCCTGATGTTAGATTTTCTGGATTGGAGTACACACATGAATATTTTCCTCGGCGCATCTCAATATTTTCCCTGGAATTCTTACCGCTGTAAACCTGTTTATCTTGTAATTCCTGAACTTGTGCCTCTATCAGTGAAATTAAGGGCAAAATTACGAAAACGATTGGGTTTTCTGTGAGACCAAGTTCACTATATAAATATGATAATCCTTGAAAACACAGAGACTTTCCTGATCCTGTCTGCACAAACAAAATTAATGTGACATTGTTCTGCTCAATGATAGATTATATTTGCAAGCTTATCGAAATTTGATTCTTTAACAGTCGCCATTTTGTTTACAAAATTGTGAGCAAATACCTGTCTATTTATAAATTTTGTACACATGCGATATGTTTCAACCAATGAAACTGCTTATAAAGATTTTCTATTGAATTAGAAATTGAAAAACTTACATTGGTCGTTCAAAGCTCACTGTAAAGGTCAATATCATGAATCGATGCTAGTTAAAGCAGCTGCCTGAAATAGTGGGAGTGTATTCAATGAGCTGCTTGCTGATTTAAGTTACCATTTCAACATTAATTTACCTTCTCTTCTGTCATACTGACAGAAATTTCATTACAAACTGTTGCATTCTTTTCTCTAAGTTCTGTTAAATCTTTTGCATACTTCATTTGTTCTACTTTGGGTCTATAATTGTCTGCACATTCTGGTAAAACAGAAAGGATAAAACATTTCTTCCTTGTTCCATGGAGACTGGAAAACATGTTTGAAATTTCAATCTGTGTTATTTGGTTCTTGACTTTTTAGCTCACCTGTCACAAAGTGACATGGTGAGCTTTTGTGATCACTTTTCGTCCGTAGTCTGTAAACTTTTATTTTAATCGACATCTCCTCATAAATTGCTAAGCCAAATTCATCCAAACTTCACAGGAATGGTCCTTTGGTGGTCACCTTAAAAAATTGTTCAAAGAATTTTAATTCCATGCAGAACTCTGGTTGCTAATTGGCAACCGAAAGAAAAAACTTAAAATATCTTCTTTTAAAAAACCCAAAGAGGTAGAGCTTAGATATTTGGCAAGAAACATCTTCTAATGAGTGTCTATCAACTTTTTTCAAATAAAAGCCCTGGGGTCAAAATTGGCCTCGCCCCAGGGGGTCATTGCTTTTCCCTATATGTATATAGTAAAAACTTAAAAAATCTTCTTTTAAAAAAACATAAAGGCTAGAGCTTAAATATTTGGCATGAAACATTATCTGATGAGTGTCTACCAAGTTTGTTCAAATAAAAGCCCTGGGGTCAAATAAAAGCCCTGGGGTCAAAAATTGGCCCGCCCAAGGGGTGGGGGGGGGGGGCGTTAAAGATTTTCCTTATATGTATATAGTAAAAACTTAAAAAATCTTCTTTTAAAAAACCCAAAGATTTAGAGCTTAGATATTAAGCAAGAAACATCTTCTGGTGAGTGTCTACCAAGTTTGTTCAAATAAAAGCCCTGGGGTCAAAATTGGCCCGCCCAAGGGGGGCAATAATTTTCCTTATATGTATATAGTAAAAACTTAAAAAACCTTCTTTTAAAACCCCCAAAGAGCTAGAGCTTAGATATTTGGCATGATACATCTTCTAGTGAGTGTCTACCAAGTTTGTTCAAATTAAAAGCCCTGGGGTCAAAATTGGCTCCACCCCGGGGGGCCTATATACAGGTGAGCGATTTCAGGGCCATCATGGGCCTCGTGTTTGTTTCTGTTTTCGTTTCTAGTTATGCTGTAAAACCACAATGTAAAAGGTTTCTTGACAAGTTAGCTTGTATTGTTATGTTTTCCCCTTACACAATGTTGTTTTGTCTAGATTAGGTATATCAAACTTATGATAAGCCATGTTTCCTCTAAATGGGACTTTAGCTTGACTTTCAATGGTTCATAGTTGAACCATAAAGATGTTGAATTATTGGGGATAGGGATTAGTGTTGCTTACACAATTGGCTTACTTAAAACCAAAATCGAGGCGTCCGTGGCCAAGTGGTTAAGGTCGTTGACTTCAAACCACTTGCCCCTCACATCTGTGGGTTCGAATCCCAACAGGGACTTTGGATTCTTTCATGTGAGGAAGCTATCCAGCTAGCTTACGGAACGTCGGTGGTTCTACTCAGGTACCCGTTCGTGCCTGAAATAATGCACGGAAGGGCACCTGAGGTCTTCCTCCACCAGTAAAGCTGGAACGTCGCGATATGACTTATACTGTGTCGATGTGACATAAAACCCCAAAAAAAACAACAAACAAACTAAAACCAAAATGTTGCTCAACTGGGAGCTGGTTAAAATGCTCAGTCAAAGCAAGTTCCATACCAGAGTTCAAACAGTACTCATTTAACAATTAAATAAACTGTTATCAGTCTCCAGACCTTTGAAGGTTTGGTAACTTAATAGCCTACTGTTTCTTTGTTTTGTAATTTTGAGAACTGACCCTGGCAATTCATTACACATTTTTCAAGGAGTTGAAATGGCCAAGAAATTAAGTTGATAAGTAATTCAGTTGCTCATCATCTACTGATCTGTACTTTTTAAATGGGAATTATGGGTTCTATCTGCTTTCCCCAAACAGTCAAAAAACTTGTTCATGTGAAGGATAAACTTTACAGATTCTATAACTCTTTGATCGTAGTGCATTTCCAATGCAGTTTCCACTGTGACTGATAAAACTTGTGTAGCATACCTTACATTCATTGCACCAAAAGAGGTTACATTTACATGTATGTGGTCATGAGTCAATTTTGGACGTAGCCTGTACAATGGTCCTTGGAAAGGTTGACAATATGTAACCAGGATATGACAAATCCATCTTTCCACATTTATCTACTTTTCTTATGGAAATGCAATTTTGAGAAACAGTCCTTAGCTGTTTGAATTATATGTTGGTGTCACTAATGATGTATACATCCCGTTGAATGAGGGAAAGAATATTCAGACTGCTGAAAATGGTGCGCATAGCATTCTCAGGTTGATGAAGTTTAATGAAATGTCTATTTGGTGAGGCACCATCACTATAGTAATAAATTAAACTTCTTTTTCACAATGTGTCTCTAAAAAACCCAATTGCCCCCCAAAAAATAAAAAACCCGTGGTCGATGATGTTGGGGAATTTAAAAACTTAAGGTTTTCCAAAATTTCCTCTACCTTAAGACAAACCACTTTTGTTTTATCTTGAGAAAATTTGATTCCCTTTTTTGTCCAGGTGATTACCCATGTTCCCCAGATAAACAAACCCAATAAGTTACATGATGTCTTTATAAACTAAATCATGTTTATTTTGTCAGCCTAAGTCCTTGGGATAATCAAAATGTATCTAGATAAATATGTAATTTACATGTTTATACATGTTTATCATCTTTGGATGCCTGATGAAATTTATATAACATATTAAGTACGCTGTAAACTTATAACATTACCATAATTTATTATATTCACTTGATTATTCTGTACTTAAAACGGTCTGAAACTAAAAACATGCTTTTCTCATATCATGCATTTATTCAGGCACAAATATTGTAATTGGTATGATTATGAATAGTGAAAATATACTAGAAAACAGTACTTGTAAACCGATATGTGCCATTACGACAGCATATCTTACCAGTTGGACTCAACACTATGTTGGTCCAGGTCATGTGGCTTCCTCTGGTACAAGACCTGCCAATTTATCCAAAATTCAGTTGTGCTGGGCTCACCAACCAGTTTTCCTACATTTGCCATAGCCATCCCATTAGACCATAACATCCCAATGGCAACCCTCATTTTTGAAGGACAATATTGCACCTTTTGAATCTAACCATGTTGCTTGCGATGTTTTGTCAAATGTTTAGAAATGTTGGATCGAATCTGTTTGCAAAATTTGCAAAAATGAACCTGATCCCACACAATGGAATGTTTTTTTTCTTTCACCAAATGGACCATATCTTGATTTCAAAACTTTACGCACATAAAAACAGTATGTTTGTTCTTGATAAATCTCTTGTTTTTTGGTTTCATTTTAAAAATTAATTTTAAAAATGCACATTTGTTTTATACCTGTTTAGTATCTAGCAAATATCATCCATGAGCATTTCTGCCTTTCTTTGTTTTGGCTGGCAAGGGCAACAGACAATAAATTATCATTCCCAAGGATGAGAGATTCTATCAAGATTGACTACTCTGCTTCAGTCCACCTTGGTTTATGCACCTTGGGAACACATTCAGTTTCTGTTGGCTCCAAAATTATCGGACAAGTTTCTGGTACTGAGGGCTTCTTAATATGTATATAATTGACTCATTTTCATGCTTAACTTAGATTGGTCTCAAAAGTTTTTATAATCTCACTTTGAGTTAAATTCTCCTCTGAGTTTGGAGCTGAGATCTGAGTTGAGATTTTAAAATGTTTATAACCACTGGCCTGGTCCTAAAAAATATGGCAAAAGGGTCTTAGTTGAAAACAGAAAGAGCGCTGTTGTATATGTTCATGTTGTTAGAAATTAATGATCACTGATAATAAACTGTTGATAACTGTAGCTTGTCAATAATACACTGACCTTTATATTTTGAAAAGGGTAAACATGCAACTTTTGGGGCAACAAGATTTGTGATGATCTGCTGATAGAGGGTAGTTATGTTTTAGCTTTTTAATGTTTTTATAAACATTTTTTAATGTTTTTATAAACATTTTTTAATGTTTTTATAAACATTAGTATATAATTATGCGTGTAAAAAAGATTGTTGTGATAAAAATGCTGTATTATTTGTTGGTGTAAATGTACTATATATGTTGTTTAAATGCTTTTAAAAGAAATACATGTACATTGGAGAGCACACAGTTAATAACGTGTCATTTGACTCCTATTAAGCTTCTTTTTTTTTCAAAGAAATTTTTTCAAACTATTGTAACAGTCATGTTGTCAATGCAAGTCATTTACTGTTACATGAAGCATATTTTTTTTCTTAATGATTTGTCTAAATACTTGGCTGGATAAGACCTTCAAGTACATGACCCTGAACTTGACATTATAGGTCAAATTATTGAATTTTCCTTGATATTTTATATTTATACTTTATATTATTTCCCAAGATAAGAAAGAAATCATGGAAAAACATTGCACTATTTAGGGATAAACATTGATAGATATTTGAGTCATGTATAAAATGCAGAAAAAATGTTTTAGAAATTGTGTCATTTATCTGAAATAGTCATAATGTATCCCAATTTATTTCAATATTTAGTATGTAGTAGTAGTCTATTACATCACATGAATAAACTGTTACTCAAATGTGTTTGGTATCATTTCAAATATTTTTTACCAGTTGTTTTCCAATGAATAAAATGTAACATATTAACTAACAAATTAAAGCAAAACCAGTGAAACAAATCCACCTAACATAGTTATACTGAGTAATTAACGTCCCACTCCTAGTTAATGATGAAATAGGTCTTGGACAATTATCTGTAGGAGGCTCCATTTGCTGCACTTGAGGATTATCTTGTGCGGTAATGTTAACTTTATATTGCATCAATTGAGGCCGCCAAGTTTCGAAAGTCTGTAAACGGAATGTCACAGCTTTTATATATATTTTAATTGACAACCAGAAAGTTTAGTATTGCTTGATGTCATGTTCATTGTAAATGCTTAACGATTCACCAGCTTTTGTAGTCCTTGTAAGTGTCTTGATTTGTAGTCCTTGTAAGTGTCTTGATTGCTCATTTGACACTTGTAGAAAGATAATTGGATGTTGTGAAAGTTGTGACAATGCCTCTTCTTTCACTAATGTACCACTTAGAAGCTCAAGTGGAAACTCGTCGCTAACGTCTTCTCTTGATTAATGTTTTCTTTTACAGAAAATGGTTGGGTGTTTCCAGCATTATTAGTTTTCGAGCAATTTTCTTCACCAAGCAAAACGCTCTGAAAATTGAAACTGCTATCAATATCGCTGAAACCTAGTTGATTTTGCAGTACATCTAAACTGTAACTGTCATCCAATTCCGAATGGTCTTCTTGAGTGTTTAAATAGGACTGTTCCTGTTTGATTTCTTCTTTGAAAAGTGTCTGCCTTACCTTGTTTTACTTTCAGACAAGGACAATTGTCCCATTTTCAAGTTATCACAACCGTCCGACAAATTGTTTTTATGCT